CGGGCGAAGGTGTAGGCTGCAGTGGGGCTGGCCGGCAGCCGGCGTGCACTTTCGTGAGCTGCTGTGAGCAGCCATCCAATGGCCGGCGACTAACTGCCTCACCAGGGAAGAGCGCAATGATAATACCAACATGGGCCAGTGAAGCGACGTCCTCCACAACCAGACTGAAGAACAAAAGGACAGCAACTTGTCTGTTCCCCTTACCCGATTCCCCAATGCTGCTCCCCTCCCCCAGTTCCCCAATAAAATCTTTAAAAAATAATAATAATTGGAGAGTAAGCTCTAAGAGAAAGGGGTCTTATTCATCACTGACTCCCCAGAGTTCAGTGCCTTGCCTGATACACAGGAAATCAATATATATTTGTTGAATAATTGAATGAATGAGCAAATGAATGGATGGCTGAACGAGACACAGAGGAGGGAGGGAAGGGGAGCTTAACAGAATCGAAAAAGTATATTTCATTTTTTTCCCTAGTCAATATGTCTAGATATAGCTGCATAGAACGTCATACAGTTGTAATCAGAAGATGTCATTAAGGCAACCATTCTCAAAAGTTTGGCTGGCATTTGCTGTTTGGTTACACACAGAAGCAGGATGCCATTGACTGAATATGTAAAAGCCTGTTATGACAAACTCCAAGGATCCATTCATAAGTTTCTGTCACAGAGTATGAGAATTATTTATAGTGAAAATACTTCTTCAAACTTCAGGTAGGCTACTGACTGAGAAAGCAATATTCAGGAGTATGAAGAATTTTGTTAGGGCTGAATTTATTTTAATGAGATTTGGCTTATATACAATTAGTGCTCAGTTAGCCATGTTTCAATAAGTGCATATAATTGGTTGAATAAAGAATAGGTAAAAGCTGAATTATATTAAAAAAATGAGAAACATTTGAGAAAATGGAAATTTGCAGAAAAAAATAGAGGGTCAGAAAAAAGTAATAAAGTTTATATTACCTTGCTTTGACAAAGTTAACAAATACCACCTAACTGAAATTCAGCAGATATGTTTATATAATTTTAAAAATGATAATACTGATGTTCCCTCATGTTCTCAAATTATTTTTTTTACACTAACGGTAAATATTTTATATCCCTACATGTGTCTATTGTAAACATATAGTTTGAGTGATTAAATTACATTATTATTAGTAGTTTTATGGAATAGTAAAAGAAATACACTCATGGTTCTAGAAGCTGTCTCATAATTTTATTAAATGAGATGATCCCTATAAAGCCCTGTACAATGGCATTCTTAAAAAAATAAAAAAGTACACTGAGTTAATTATTGCTATAATATTTGTGATAAGATAGATTTTGATAAAAGTCAACCTGCCTATAAGCTCATAACAGCTTTTGTTTAGTTACAGAAGTTTCACTAACAACATGCCTTTGAGTAACCTGAATCTTGAGAATGTTTCAAAATTTTTAGAACAACATGATGCTGACTTAGCAAATTTAAGGCTATTTATTATATATAACCTTTTATTTCTTACTAAGCATTAGTGTATGCAAGCAGGAAACACTCTCCCTACATCCTCCAACCCAAGGGTCAGTTCTAGAAGTATACAGAAGAAGGAAATTCAGAACTACTGTATTCTCATCTTGCGAAAGATTTTCAGAACAAGTTTCTAAATAATACCCCATGTATGCAAAACCAAACAAGGGCAAAATGAATCACCTGGCTGCCAGAGTGAGACCTAAATGCTGAGTATTGCTATCAGTTTTGAAAAAGTACTCTGTGGAGAGCTGGGTTCGATGGCGGTTGGATTTCTAAGATCAGGTCACTAGAAAAAGAAAATTCTGTTCTAGTACAGAAGGTTTTATTTTCAACTTCTCTTTAAAATGGACTTTTCATTCCTGCTGATATAAAAGTAGAACTAATATAATTACAATTCTTTGAGGCAAAGCCTTGCTGAAAGTTATCCACAAGAAAAAAACAGCATGAAATTGAGTTCTCTCAACAGGCAACCTGGATTTTGCAGAAACATGTTAACGGACTAATTATTTTTTAGCTCTTCGAAATAGAAATGGAAATTTATTTTACCAGATATTAAAATATATTCTTATCCTTTAATAAGCAGAACATTGTGGAGCAGATGCAAGGATAAACTTATCAGTGGAACAGAATACACGTCTCTAAGCAGACCCTCAATGGCACGTGAGATTATATTACAAATTAATAGCTCTCAAAAGGGGAGGGGCAGGAACAAATCAGAGGAAAACCTAAGATTTTGTTAGTTGAGATGTGCTAGAATCTTGCAAATTGGGGTTGAACGCATTTTTAAAAAAAGTTTCCTGAGTGACTTTGGTACACTTTCTTCCCTCAGAAGGAATCACTGCAAATAAAGGAGACGCCACAAAAGGCATCAGGGAAGGAAGGGATGGACTAACAAATAGTGCTGTGCTTATTTAAAATAAAAAGCCAATTTATAGTCTTACCTTGTTTCACACACACACAACACATTATAAGTGGATCAAAGAGTTAAATGTAAATAATTAAACCATTAAAAGATTTAAAAATATGTAAGTGACTAACTCATCTGTGAACGGGAGAGAACTTTCTATTAATAAGAGAATAGAAATAACCACAGGAAAAATGCATAGATTTCACTTAAAAGAAGTAGATTCTTTTTTTGTGTGTCAAACACCATAAAAATAAAAGCAAAAGCACCAAGTGGAAAAATATTCACAACAGACATTTACTGCAGAGCTTTTTATGTCAGGCACCAGCAGACACCATGAACTTGTAAAGAAACCTGTACTTTTGATGAGAAGAAAGCACTCGAAACCCAGAATATAATCTGAATTATGTCAACTGAAATGAGATAGGAACTAAGGCACATTCTCACATCGGTTGATGCAGTGTCTTTTTTTTATAGCTACATGACCCAGTTGAAAGCACATTCCTATAAGTGGCTGCTGTAGTGCCTCAGTTGTCTAATTTTCAGATGACGATGAGGAGGGCTAATTGGGTGGTGGTAACAATAGACTCAGAACTGGAAAGGAAGTGCTAGGTTTGTCCTAAACTTCTACTTTGCTTCTTATTTCCCCTCATCGAGTTCACATGCAAGGAATTGGGAAGCAAAGTAAAACATGTATTTATGTGCCTTTTACTGTGCAAGGTGCTTGACATGCATTATCATCATTTCTTCTTTGTTGCGCTGTGATGTATCAACTGTATTTTACATACGAAGGGATGCAAGTTGGTAGACTTTTATTCCATAGACATTGTCTCTGCTAAGACAAAGCTTTTCATTTTCATTTCATTCTGCCCAAGCACAATGATAATTACTGAGATGTTTTATGTTTTTTAAAAAACATAAATTGGTATTTATGTATTTGGGACAAAAAATTCTGTTTATCACTCACCAAAATTGTGTGATGTCAAAAAACCAAAATCTTAAAGACTAGTTTTCTAGCTATCACACATTTGTACATTCTGTGAAAGCTCTGAATGAAACATGGATGATAATCCAGTATTAAAGGTTACAGGCTGAACAGAAGAAAAAAAAAAGAAATCAAATCAGAGCATCTTACCCTTATTAATTTTGTTTCTGGCCCAGAAAATGCATAAAGAACTATCATAAGATGAGTTCTGGAAAAGGTTTCTAATTATGGTTTGGATATAGGTGTTGATGACGCATGGAATCTCTTTTTGCTTTAGTAAGCTACACGGGTTATTTCAGGAGCAACAATCAGCTGTTACAGTTATACTATGGTTTGGTAACTCCACATGTAATCTCTTTTTATAGAACATTTCAAATATACAAAATATATAAAAACGTTTTTTATAAAACATTTCAAACATACAAAAAAGGGAAAACAGAACTTAACAGGCAGCTAAGTGCTCATCACCCAAACTGAATAGATGTTAACGTTTTGGCCCTATTTGCTTAACTGTTCTCTTGTATCCATACATGATCAAAAAGTTTAGCTATACTAAAGCTCATCCCAAGGTAGCCTCTTTCCTGAAGTTAGTATATATCATTCTGATATATATATATATATATATATCACATTTAAAAAAAGATTTTATTGGGG